TTGGAAACTACTTGTGACCAATGAACTTAAGTGAGTGTTTTCACTAATTGTCTTGTTGTCATATTTGTTGGTATTCCATACTTGGTTTTGTGTAACCCGAGTGTGTACTTTATCCCCGAAAGAATTGTTTCTCAGTGTTATTATCGGTCCTAAGGGCTATTAAGTTTTATTTGTGAAATAAAGTGGATCCAGGCCCCTTCTACGGAATCAAAACTAGAAAAAATTAGAAGGTAGTGAATGGTAAAATGCATATTTACTCTAGTAAAAGGAATGTCAAATAGTGTTGGGCGTTGGTTGGCGAGGCATCGCAACAAGGATTTAACCAGCAGTATCCTTTCTCATGTGTTGAATTGTTGATTTTTAAGTGTGACTTGGTGAGAAATGTTATCTATTGCTAGTTTTGAATTCATGTCTGTATTCTACGTCATGTTCCGTCCATTTAATTGTTGACATTTATGTAGTGGAACCTCATTGGGCATAAGTTCATCCTTTTAGTTTTGTTATCCTTACAGTGGATGGGGCTGAGCAGTGGAAACGGGATGTTCGTATTGTTCAAGGCTTTTAGTTACTAGAATTGATGTTGTATGCGTAACAAAAATAAATGTTTGATTATTATTTTTTCTCTTCTTATGGAAACATTGGTATCATTATGCAATATAGATAAAGTAAACCATTGTATTGTTCTTTATTCTATGACTGTAGTTTAGTCCTGACATGAGTTAGGCAAGCGTTCTAGTGAGAGCCCTTCGCTAATAACGGGAGGGGTCCTTTTAGGGCTTTATAGAAAGATTATTCTGATGTTCAGAAGGAAGAATCACAAGAACCAGAAGTAGTATTGAAAGTTCATAAGCCTAACTATAAAATATTTTCCTTAACACATCTCTTGAAATATATATGTTATGATCATCAAGGCCATGAAGTTTATAAGCCTTTTGACCTGTAAGATACCCAATGAGGACACCTTTGACTGCTCTAGGTGCAAACTTATTCCTGTGTGGAGTAGTGTTAATAATAAACCACAAACAACCAAAGGTTTTAAGGTGACTATAATTTGGAACAAATGAAACAAGACTTCATAAGGAGATTTCCACTTCACGATAGCAGTAGGAAGTCTAAGAATGAGGTATGTGTCGGTTAAAATAGTATCCCCGAAGAATTTCTTAGGTAAAGAAGCTTGAAACATAATAGCCCTTGTCACTTAGAAAAGATGTTTGTGTTTACGTTCAACAACACCATTTTGTTGAGAAGTGTAAACATATGATTTTTTTACTAATAGTTCCATGTTTAGAAAAGAGAAGTTCACATTCACAATTGCAAAACTAAGAACTTTTATCAGTCCTTATAGTTTTGACCGTTTTCTGAAACTGAGTGTTACACATGGCAATGAAATTTTCAAGAATTTGAAGTACAAAGGTTTATGTCTAATAAGAAAAGTCTAGCCCTGACCACAATTATCGCACCATCGGTTACGGTATTAAAACCGCCGGTTCATGGTTCCAAGATAGATGGAACCATAACCGAACCATGTAAGAGACGGTTTCAAACGGTTACGGTGTGAGACGGTTTCGGTTCCGGTTCCGGTTCCGGTTACGACTTTAGTTACGGTTTCGACTTTGGTTATGATAAGGGTTTTTTATTCGATTCTAGTTATCATTGTGATATTTGTTGTATTTTATTATCTTTATTTCTTGTTTGAAAGTTTTCTTTTGTCATGGATGACAATTATTTCAACTTGACGAAGACTCAGGGATGATTAATTTTTTTTACATTAATCTTGCTAAGTTTAGGAGAAGTCACGTAGTAAAAAAATAACTAGAAATAATTTTTAATTTTTTAAAATTAAGTAATAATTATTTTTTTACGGTTCTGACCAGAACCGAACCGCCAGTTACAGTTATGGTTCTTATAAATGAAGAACCAAGACCGAACCAAAAGATTATGGTTACGGTTACAATTTTTGAACCATAAATTGTGGTTACGGTTTAGAACCAAAACTGACGGTTCGATTCTGTTTGGTTTCGGTTCGAACCAGAACCTTGGTCAGGTCTAGAAAAGTCCTGCAAGTCTATTGAAATCGTCCACTATTGTAAAAAAATAACATGTTTGAGATAGGTTTGTATGAGAATAAGGAACCCCAGAGATCAACATAAATCAACTGAAAGCAAGAAGTATTATGTATATTACTGATAGGAAAAACAAGTCTTGCTATTTCACGGCACGACTAACTTCATAGCAGAATTCGTGGTTTTCATCAATGTTCAAGAAGTGACTAAGTAGCTTTAAAATCCAAATGAAGCTGACCTACTCTTTGATGCCACTATGGATTCAAAGCAATTGTGACATTATTACAGTTTGTGGCTATAGTATTAAAAGATCGACTAAAAGAATGAAGAGGTAAACAAGGAAGATGGAGATGGACTTGTTTTCTGATTTCTTGCAATTGAAAGAATCTGGAGTGAGAATACAAAGCCCTTGAAAAATAGCACCAACTCCAATTTTTTCATTAGTCTTGAGGTCTTGTGCATACAATTCAATAGAAAATTTAAAGTATAATTTCACTGAATGTGCTAAGGATCTCATAGGATTCAGATTATATTTGAAGGTTGGTACATAAAGGACATTAGGAAGAGTAATCCTAGGATTAAGCTCTATTGATCCTATTTGTCTGACATGTTGAATACTGCAATCAGTTAAAATGATTGGAGTTAAGGCTTCAACGGGTTCAGTTTTGATAAGCAAAATAGATTATGACACATATTCCTAGTGGCACCTGTATCAAGAAACCATGAACTAACAAGTACGTTATGTATATCATGTACTTGAGGAATGACAACTACCTGCAAAGTCAATCAAGCGCAAGAAGTTGACATACTGAGGAGCGCAGTATCCTATCATCAAAAACTCTATCAGCTTATCCTCAGTACCCCTAGCTTCCAGCACCCTTGCAATTTCAAGTGGATACTCAAGAAATGGTCTATTGTGTGCATACTCATCCCATATACGCTTCATGCACTTTAGTACTTCACCAGTACGAGATCACCTTGCACTATGCCAATCCTTTCTTTCCTCATTCTATATAATTTCTAGCTATTCAAGGTCTCGTACTCTTTAGCTAGATTATCCCATAGTTCTTAAGCAATGAGATTGTACATATAACTATCGAATACATCTGGACTCAAAACAACAATGATTTGTGATATAACGGTTGAATTAACCCATTTTCATTGATGAATATCAGGTGAAGTAGGTGATGGACTAACAGACATACCATGAACGAAACCTATCTTCATCTTGGATTAAGGAACTGTCCTCATCGAACGACTCCAAACATGATTGTTGGAATTAGGGAGTGGAATTGAAGCTAACACCATTCTTTGATGCTCAAATGAATGAAGATTCAATGTATCGTCTTGAGGTCTCCAGTTCATGGTGCCACGAGCTTGATCTGTTTGATGAGCTTCATCACCTTCACGATTCGCCATGACCTATTGCAACAAACTAAAAGAATTGAATCGATAAGAATGATCATAATATAATCCCCCTTGATTGTGGTTGGCATTGGAAAATCCTCATGGTGATCAAGGAAAAAAAGTTGCCTGGAATACAAATTGGTAATACCCCCATTTCTCTTCGGCATGCCGCCGATGTTTCCCTTCAAAATGGAGTTGTTCTTTTCTAAATTTATGGTCTTCTTCATCAAATTGAGTTATACATTTAAATTGTTGTTGTGCCAGATTTGGTGATTACAACCATAGAAAATTAATAGTTTCTTCTACAATGAATGAAAATGACTCCAAAGGAAATAACGGTTGAACTAACACTTTTAAGAATCCCAAAAATATTTGTTGTGGCATAACAAATACAAAATTTTCGTACTAACAAAAAATTAGTTGACTTTTCAAGATACAAAAAATGAAGAATGAAAAAACTGAAGTATAGTTTGAAAAATTGTCAAAAGGATTTTATATAATGTTTTCTGGGTTATATATTCAGTAACACTAATTAATTTTTATGTGCGTAATTATTTAAATTTTTAGTGTTTATTTAACGGTTGGTTAGGTATTAGTTAAGTTTTATAAACTCGAGTAGTTTCCATACGGTTCACGTCTTTGCCAATAATGTTATAGGAACTATGATGCAAAATATGTCATTTTCTATTTAAAAGTTATAGCCCATAAAGTTAAACTTGAATTTAGAATAACATATACCCGACTTATATTATTAATTAAATAATTTATTTTATTTATGTGGATTTGCAATATTCACTTAAATTTTGATGATTACATAACTTTTTTATCAATATTTTGGTGTTGAATTTTATATGAAGAAAGAAATTTGAATAAAATATGAAATTAAAATGAACAAAATTGGAACTGAAATGCAGATTCAGGTGCAAAGGTAGGACGAAGAAAACTGCAGCTGAGGAACGGATCTTAAAGCATTATTTTAATGACCTTTAAATGGTTGAATTGTAAAGAAGTGAAATAGGAAAAGTAGCTGTTGTAATGAGGTTCTCAACAACCTCTGCATTTTTGTAAGTTATGTGCCAACAAGCAGTTTTGTATTATGCTTTCACTGCTTTGGTGTTAATGTATATAATTTGTTTTTTCACCAAATATATATATATATATATATATATCTATTTACTTTTGTAAGAGTTTCTTTCTTGACAGTTAACGAAAATCATGCACCTCTGGCCAATTTAATTATAAGATATGCTTAACTTCTTTAACAACCATACACTTGCGGAAAATATTGTCATTCACTTTCTTATTTTGTTTTTCTTTATGTTTTGTTTAACTAAAGTGATAGCTGTCATGAATAATAGTTGTATTCTCTAAACAACTATAGTTTCTAAATTAGTCATCCCCGCATCATTTATAAATAGCTCTGGAACAAATATTTGGAAACTCAGATCAAAAAAGAAAAATACTCTTTTATGTTAAATCAAAAAGGAAAAAAAAACGCAAAAACAAGTCATTGTTTGAAATAGAAAAAAAATGGCAAAGAGGGTGCTCAACATCACCATTTTCTTATATTGCTTGATCATAACAAATGCTCAAGTTTTTGACATCATAAATTATGGTGCAAAAGCTGGTGGTGCTGACATTAGCAAGGTACAAACATATAGTTGTTTAATGCAATTGATTGTTAAACAATCATGAATCTTTCAGTGTCGAAACCAAGTGCATATAGGAACTCCCAAAGTTTGATTCTAAGGGAACCTTTTAATAGGCTCCTGTGGAGGTACTGCAGGAGTCCGATTGCATCTGTATTCATTAATGGTTTCTAAATTGATTTTATTCAGGCTCTTTTGAATGCTTGGAAAGCTGCATGTACTTCTTCAAAACCAAGTATAGTTTTGATTCCAAAGGGCACATTTACATTGAAGGAAGTATATCTATTAGGTCCTTGCAAGGCACCTCAGATTGCAATCACTAACCAAGGCTCGGTCGTTGCCCTCCCTCAACCGACATCAGTGAAAGCGGACAATGAATGGATAATGATACAATATGTTGACCATCTCACCATTAATGGCAATGGTGTGTATGATGGTGTCGGAGCTAAGTCATGGACACTAAACAGAGAACATTGTTGGAATACTACACAATGCAATCAATTTCCAAACGTGAGTTTTATTTTATACATAAATGCTACTCCCATTGTCTCTAAGAAACATATAGAGTTCTCTTCGTTGTAATTTTTTAGTTCAACAAATAGAACTGTTTGTCTTGGATGTACAATGGGATGATGACATTTCACACTAAATAAACTAACCTATATATAGTATATTTATCTTATGCAAGTTCCCTTACGTGGCCATAACTTTTGCAGAATTTTGGCCTCCATAACCTCAAGCATTTAACGGTTAGGGACATAACATCCAAAGATGCCAAATCATTTCATTTTATTATAAGTGATGTTCAGAATGCGACATTTCAAAATCTAAAAGTCACTGCACCTGAAAATAGTCCAAACACAGATGGCATCCACATTGGAAAGAGTAGACAAGTAACCATCAAGGACTCATCCTTCAAAACAGGTGATGATTGCGTCTCCATTGGGGATGACACTCAAGGAGTGAACATTACAAGAATTAGCTGTGGACCTGGCCACGGAATCAGTATCGGAAGTCTCGGAAAGTATAATAATGAGAAGCCCGTCGTAGGAGTCTGGGTGACCAACAGTAATCTCTCCAACACCATGAATGGTGTTAGAATCAAAACTTGGGCGTATTCCCAACCAAACGAAGCATCCAATATGCATTTTGAAAACATTCGAATGGATAACGTTGGCAACCCAATCAACATTGACCAACTTTATTGTCCATCTGGTGGTTGCAATATGAATATGGTAAGTATACATATCCTACCATTTTGTAACAAAATCCAACAGAATTTTCTAAAATTATATTGGCCTAAAATTACAGTCAAGTATGTTGAATAATAAAATGACTCTTATTTTTAGGATGAGAACATACATTGTGCTTCTTTTACGAATAATAGGCAAAACGATTTCATTTGATTATACCTAAAATAATTTTTGGTCCCATTGATGCAGCCATCAAGGGTTAAACTCAGCAAAATCAGCTTCAAAGGCATTAGAGGGACTTCATCAACTCCGGTCGCCGTGAATCTAGTTTGTAGTGCTACATTCCCATGTCAAGGTGTGGAGATTGGGAACATTGATTTGAAATTCAAAGGAGGTGATGCACAATTCATTTGCTCAAATGCAAGGCCAGCATTTTCTGGCAAACAAAACCCTAAGATAAATTGCAGATAAGGCTTAAGAGCCTGGCACTGAGTTGCTTCATGAATTCATATGCAAGAAGGGACCTATGCAACTGCCTTAATTGCTTTAGAGTGGTAGTTGAAGTACCATCGTCTTTGTAAGAATTTAAATTTCTCAATGTTTTTGTCACAGATGATGATCCGTCAATAAATTAAGACTATAAGATTGAATGCATAGTCTAATTATAAGCTTTGATTTTAATCATACATTTTTTCAAGGAATACAATTAATAAGTTATGTTGTCCCGCTTGAACCGCCAGGAAAATATTAAAAAATTTATATATATATATATATATATAATTGTTACTGCTTGAACTTGAATTTGAATTTCATCTACCCGACTAACATTAAAATTTAAACAATTGATTTGACTTATGTGGAAGTGCAATGTTTAGCTCTATTATTTTGATAGTTCCGTAGTTTTTTAATCAAAATTTTTGTACAGAACTTTATATCGAGGAAGAAATTGAATAAAAAATGCAAATAAAATGAACAAAACATAGATTTCTTTTTTAAAAAATTAGCAATGATCATAAAATCCGCCTAACTTCTTCAACAACCATACACTTGCGAAAAGTGTTGCCATTCCATTTTCTAGTTTTATTCCTTTGTTTTTTGTTTATCATAAATTATAGCTGGCTAGAATGATATTGTCATTCTCCAAACAGCTAGCATTTCTAAATTTGTCATCCCCCGAAAATTCATACCTAAAAAGGAGAAAATTACTCTTTCTTCGTAAAACAGAAAAAAGCATAAAGACTATTCATTATTTGAAAGAGAAAAGAAAGGCAAGGAGGATGGCGAAATAAGCCGCCCCAACTAGTAATTTCAATATTCGCTCTCTATCGACAGCTCTCTCGCCAGCCAAACTTGCGAACGTTCTCCCTCAATGATCTACAGCCATATGGCCGATAAAAAACATGTGGTTTTGAAGTAGGGTTAATGAACCCTAGACATGTTCTTACAAGATTCGATAAACATAAAAACTACCAAAGGTGTTGGTTTCACACATTTTGTAACATTGCTAGCTATTCAATGCGAATCCTCAAAAGGCAACCAAGATTCAAATTCGAGGAGGATCCGTCCATAGTCCCAATTTGGGTTTCGCTGTATGAGTTACCAATTGAGTTCTTCACCCTAAAGATAGTATTTTCCATAGAAAACGCAGTGGGTAAGCCGTTGCAAGTAGACACTCCAACTCTCACATTGGCACGACCATCCATAGAAAGATTTTGTGTGGAGGTTGATCTCACAAAGAAGCTCTTGAAGTCTATCATGATTAGGAGAAAATTCAAGAAACACAAGCAATTTTTCACCTATGAACATGTGCCATCCTATTGTAGTAAATGCTGCAAAATTGGACATAAAGATTCTGATTGTTGACAAGGGAAATCTGCCCCAAAATTATTTAAAGAAGACCACTCAAAAAAGGAGGCAACAGTTAAGGTTAGCAAGGTCAAAAAATCTGTACAATGGAAGTTAAAAGATCAAGATCCACAGCAGCAAAAACCTTTTTTTTTTCCTATTTGACAACCTCTGGAAAAGCAAAGATTATGGTTAATTTAGAAGATCGTTCTCCTGTAATTGAAATGCAGGTTAGCAAGTCAAATGAAAAGATGTTGCAGGACTGCCATGTGAACGAAACTCCAGTCCTAGAGGAAAAGGTTGATCATGTGCAAGACGTAGAAGGTTGGCAACAAAAAGATTATTTTTTGTCTACCCTAGGGGATTTTAGAATGGTAACAATATGGAGCTGAATTAAGAGGCTGATCTCAGTGAAGAATCTGGGAATAAAGTAGAAAAAATATTCAATGAACCCTTTAGCATAAGACCCGCTATAGAACAAACAGTGGAAATGCTGCAAAATCCTAGCGCTATTTATGTGCCTGACAATACCATTCTAAGAAGAGTTTCTAAGGCCGATGATGAGGTGCTAGATATAAGGCTGAAATGGTCTGAAGGAGAAAAGGAAGATGCCAAAATCAGCTGTCAAAGTGAGGGATTCACAGCAATGAAGCGAAAAAGAGGAAGAAAACCAAAACCGGAGAAAATGAAGTTGAAGGAGAGCAAGGTTGTTGCATTGTCGCGGCGATCAACAAGACTAAACCAATAAATAGGTCAAGTCCTTTTTCCCTCAAACTTTTCCAATAATTTCACAATTGATTTGGAACGTTAGGCGAATTACAAATAAAGCGGCCCAAACTCACTAATTAAAATTAATAAGATTTCACTCTATCTCCTTTGTTGTAATTTTAGAACATATGCTATTAGATTATCAGCTTGAAGAGATTAGAATAAAGCTGAATTTTGAATCTTTTTTCCTTCACGTACTGATAAAATCTGGATGTTTTGTAGGCATGGCTTTGGAATTTCCATTTTAGTTAACATGGAGCAGATTGTCCGTATGGAAGTAGTGCACCCTCAGCTTGCAAATAAGTTCTATATGTCAGCTGTCGATGCTAAATCCTCCCGGATGGAAAAACAAATTTTGTAGGAGGAAATGAGGCTTTTCATCAATTCATTCTTTGGAGAATTATACAAAATCTTCAGTCCCAAATAGGAATGTTATGGATGATTTTAATGAGTGTATTGAAATGTGATTTAATGGAGCTGCTTACTTTGAGAATGGAATTTACTTGGGGAGGAAGCAGAGCTACTAGCTGGGTGAGTAAGAAGATCCTCTTTGTTCATGAATGGATATTAGAATTTCCGAAATCTTGTGTTTAACATCTTAATCGAGCTACATCATATCAATTCCCACTACTTCATCAGTTCAGTGCTCAAGCAGAAGCTATGCTGAACCCTTCAAATTTCAAAACACGTTGTTTCTAGAACTGACCACTACTAGAAAAAGGGTGTAATAGGACACTAAGCAAAAAAAATTTTAAGGCATTTAGTGGGAATTGTTACTATAAATATTTTTTTAATGACATATGGCTATTGAGGCATTTTCTCCCGAAAAAATTACCCCAGATCCACTAATTTAGGGGCTTTTTATTTTTATTTTTATTTTTTTGAAAAGAAAGGGAGAGAGAAGGAAAACCTGCATATGCTTATCCACTTGTTACGGTTATTTTCTTTAAAAAAAAATTTTGCTATAGCCCTAAATCCTAAACCTAGCCCATAAACGATTCGGCAATCCAAAATTTCTTCTCCGCCGGCCATTTTCTCTCTAAACTTGCCGAGGGAAATGATCAAATTATTCCATTAATTTGATGACTAAAATATCAAGATTATGATTTCTTTTCCATCCAATTGTGAAGCGCGGTTAAAAGATCCTATCTCAAAGCCAAAAATTTCTTGAGCGAGTTGGTTGTTCGATTTCAATTGAGCGGATGCAATTTTCTGCACAAATTTTGCTCGAGGGGGAAGCGGGTAATCTTGCTTCACTTTTCCTAGTTGGTTCTTAACTTCTACTTTTTTCCACTATCAATTGAATTTCTTATAAGGGTAGTTATTGTTTTCTTCCCTGGTCTAAAAGGTAAATTGGGATTTAATCATGGTGGTCTCTAGTAATGCAAAAGAGAGGAAACTCAAAAAAAGGTTTGGATGATATTTTACGTCTTTAATCTTTGTTGTTGAACTCATACTTTATTTTTGTTGCCCAGTTCCTATAAAGGAGATTATAAGGGGATCGATCTACTGCTACGTAGGACGGTAGGAGGATTACTACACAGGTGGAGTTCCTTAATTTGTCATTAAATGAACACTCTTGGTCTTTTTATCATTGATCCTTTTATTGATTCGAATTATTTTTCAGCTGGAAACGTCTAGTGATGCTTTCATATGGGGAAAAAGACTACCAAATGTTTGTATCAAATGTTCTCATGCCAGTAGTTAGGATTTATCGGTTTGTTTGCTAGGTGGTAATGTTGTCTTTGTTTATTTACTTACAAATGCAATTTTAAATGTCTAATTGACCTTTTTGGGCTTCTTGTTGTCATGTAAGCCATATAAGGTCCTGCAAGAACTATGTCATAGCTAGGAAAAATTTGTTGCTTTAGTTGTACATTTGATACAAGTAATTTTTTAAGTACAATAAAAGATGTAACACTCAAAACTCAAATTACACACTTTTTTAAGTTAGAATCCTCAATAAAAAGATTACTTTTGAAAATAATACGTTAAATTATAAACTCAGGTCTACATATGGTATTACTTTTCATTAAGGTTATGATGTTTGATGGTTTCTTCTTTTTGTTGGATATATGGTATTGGAGGCAATGGAGCTTCTTCATTGCTTAAATCTCAGGAAGAACAATATAGTAGTTTAACCTTTTTTGTAGCATAACATTTTTGTGATTGATTCCATTTTGCAAACTTTTTGCAGCATTTAACAAAGGAATTTATCTTCAAAAGAGTTCCTGCTTTTATTGTTGACTAAAAAGTGTTCTAGGCGAAAACAAATGAAAGAGATCCAAGAATATCTTCAGCTACGGGAAAATGAAAGTTGGTGAAGAGGTTAGGTGAAGGGAAGGACATAGTTAAGCAATGGCAAAGTGCAGTCCCGCTCTAGCTTGAACTAGATATTTATGTGTTTGTAGGAGAATTATTTAGTTAGTGGATTATGTAATAGGTGTATTACCTTTAGGAAATTATACCCTCTCTTTCTTTTTGTTAGTCTACATTTCGTTTGTACTTGCCTTTCAAATTTTTTATAATAATGAAAATTTATTTTTAATTGTAAACATATTACATTTTCCTGAAATTAATTATTTTTATTTTTTTATTTTGTAAAAAATATTCATGCAATTGAAAATGTAATAAATGACATGATAGGTAGCTTGTTAAGGCATAGTAAATGCCTCAAAATTATTTAACATGACAGTTGAAAGTGCCTTTAAATGTTATATATTATACATGCCTTCGAAGACTAGATATAATCACACTAGACTTATCATTACATTGAATTTAAAGGCACTTCTCTCAAATGCCTTAATAGATGAAAGTGCCTTAACAATGCATGTATAAGGGCATTTTTAGTGCCTCTACATGCTACTTTTCTAGTAGTGGACATTTTGCCATTGGTGGAAGAAAATTGACAGTAACCGGTTGAAACCTTTGGTATGATGGCATTTTCACTAAAACTTCAAAGATTAAAGCATGGATTTAAAGTATGGAATAAGGAGAATTTTGCAAACATTTTCACTAACTTATCAGAGGTAGAAAAATTAGTTAGAGAGTTGGAAATATTGTATGACCCTATCGGACATGAAGAAGATCGAACAAGACTGCAGCAAAGGTTTCATTATTTGTCAATTAAAAAGAACATGATGATTTTAGAGGCAAAAATGGCTAAAAGAAGGTGACTCCAATACTTCCTATTTTCATGCTATGCTGACCTATAGAAGAATTAAATTGGAAATATATAAAATAAAGTCTCGGAAGATCAAAAGCTTACTAAAATGCAAGACATGGAGAATAAAGTTGTAGATTTTTTCAAGACTTCGTTGACAAAAGAAAATCATGATGGGCAAGAGACAGCTCAAAATTATGTTTTATTTTTTTTTTTTTTTGCAAAATATTCCAACAATCTTGGATGACGAGGATAAACTAATTAAAGTTGATGCAAGCTATATCTCTACAAGAAATGGGAGAAGCAGTGTTCCGGTTGTATCCTTCTAGTGCTCCAGTAGCTTATGCTTTTGGAGGAGTTTTATAGAAGATGTTGGGACATTATCAAAGTTGATCTATCTGAAGCATGCAAAGAGTCTATGCTTGGAGTGCCCCTCCCTTGAGCAATAGGCCACACTTTAATTACCTCGATCCCAAAGAAAGTGGCAGTGACTACTTTTAGTGGCTTTAGGCCTATCAATTTGTGCAACTTCCTTAATAAAATATTCACCAAAGTCTTGAAAAAGAGACTGAAGAGCATACTACATAAGTTAATTTCAAAGGAACAGCCTGCTTTTTTAGCAAGGTGAGATATAACAGATGATATTGTTTTGGCTCAAGACTTTTGTAAGTTCATTGATCATAAGGTGGCGAGGAATAATGTTGCTATTAAAGTGGACATTATAAAGGCTTTTGACAGGCTCCCATAGAGCTTCCTATAGCTGATTGTCCAAAAATTTGGTTTTCCTCAAGCCTTCATAAATGTAATACTGCCAAATCTTAGAAATAGCTAGTTTGTAGCTCTTCTCAATCGTAGTCTAGTTGGCTTTTCTTCCACCAACTAGAAGAATCAAACATGGTGATCCTCTCTCATCATAATTATTTATTTTAGTTTCTGAAACTCTGACTCGTAAGCTGAAAGAAATGATGGTACAAGGTGAAATAGCTTCTTATGCCCCCCCTCCCCCAGCTAGAGCACTGCTAGTCTCTCAACTTTTTCTGTAGATGATCGAGTTGTTTTTACAACAGGGCAAAAAAGATAACTTCAAAAGTTGATGGAATTTTTTAAGCCTTATGACCTTGATACGGGGTGGGAAAAATGTGGAGTAAAAAGAATCAGTACAATCCAAAATAGATTGGGGATGACAAAGGGATCTTTCCCTAGAGTTTACTTGAGCTCTTGATTGGATTATGGCAAAAAGAAAGCATCATCTTTTCATTATATCCTTGATGCTCTTGACTTGAGACTTCAAAGCTGGAAAAATAGATTACTCATGCAGGGTGGTCGGCTGCTCTTAATAAAGCATGCTCCGAGCTCTATTCCAATTCATGTTTTTGCAGCTATTCAAATTCCAAAATTGATCCTCCAGGCAATGGAAGCAAAAGGTCAAAAGTTCTTGTGGAGAAACATGGACGAGAAAAGGAAAAGAAATTAGCGTGCCTAGGAGAGAGTTGCCATTCCAGTGGATGAAAAGGGATTAAGACTTCGGGATTTTGAGGAGATGATGGGTGTCGAGAGTACCAAAATAAACTTACTTAAAACTTGTAAAAACTGATAATAAGGATTGATCCCACAAAGATGGGAAATATCAGATGAAAATTGGGATCCAGTGCAAGCTATGCAATGTATGAACAAAATTAAGACTTGAGCAAATGAGTTTATGACTTGATAAAGTAATAGAAGCCTAGTCTCTACTCTATATGCATAGATTTTTTTACCGAAATAATTTTCAATGGAAGGACCTTGACAAAAATATATTTCCTGGAGTGGTGTGAACA